TCCTGACATGTACTATATTAATAAAAATGTTTAAAACATCTTTTAATTCCTTTTTGCTTATAAACCCTAGAGTGGGTTCTGTTTCCTACGCTGAGCCCTGCAGCTGATTCCCAGATGATTCCCAAAGTTCTGTTCCTTCTCAGCCTTTCCTTTTTTTGGTACCGGGGATTGAACTCGGGTCCTTGCGCTTGCAAGGCAGGCCACCGACCGCTGAGCTAAATTCCCGGCCTCAGCCTTTCTTTAGTTTTTGTTTGCTTCTCCACTTTCCTTTAAGGACACAGCTGCACCAGTTCAGTTCTCTTGTCCACGACTGGTTTTGCCCCACACTGGCAATGCTGAGTCGCTGCGAAAGAGATTGGATGACCTCAGTGCTGGTAACGCTTACCGCCTGGCCCTTTAGAGAAAAAGGTCACCATGTCCTGTTGTGGACAAACTAGACTCCGAGTCTGGAGTCATCGCACCCACTCAACTGTTCTATTCATTCTGCAGACACCTTGCACTCCATACCAAGCTCTGCTAGCCCTTGGTGAAAATTCTCTTGGCTTATGCTCACAGCGCCCACAGGGACGCAAAATTATTATCCCAGTGTTACAGACAAGGAAGCTGAGATCTCAGGAGATCTGGGCCTAGGTGACTGGGTAGATGGTGATCCCATTAACAAAGATAAAAGACAGGAGGAGGACCAGAAACTAGGCGGAAGAGGACAGGTGCAGAGTATGGGCAAATGAGGCAGCTGTAAGAACCGTAAGAAGTTCTGCTGGATGGGCTTGGAAAGTGAGGACTTCAAGTCTGAGCAGAATTTAGGTACAAATCACAATTCTGCCACTCATTAGCAGTGTAGCTTTGGGCTAAGTGGTTTCACCTGTGCAGTGAAAAGTAAAAGCAGTAGTGTTTGTACAGTGCCTAGCATAATGCTTGGTGCATGGCAGAAGTCTGGTGTGTGTTAGCAACTTTCCCTTCATCTTCCATCTCATAGTGGAGAGTAAGCTTCCAGAATTATGTTTCTGATTGCATCCGTCTCTTTCTCAAAAGAAGCAGTGGCTCCCACCTATCCCCACTACTGGAGTGGGACCTGCTTAGCCCATGCCCCTTTCCTAAACTCCTCCACACGCTGACTCCGTTGAAGGGTAGGCCCAGTCATGTCCTTACCACCCCTGCCTGCCCTCCAACCAGCACAGCTGCTCTCGAGGGGTAGAGGTCAGACTGTGGGAACTGATCCACTGGGTGCTGTCTATCAGATTGTCTCCTTCGAGCTGTAGCTGAGAATCAAGAGACCATGGGGGTGGGTGCTTGACCTACAGGTTCCACAGAGTCAGGGCCACTTTAGTACTTTCTGGCTTCAATGTCTGGCCAGCCTCGTCTATCCCATCCTCTCTACCATCATCCCACCACTCTGCCATATGAACCGCTATCACTCAGGAATGCTCTGCTCCAGGCTTTTTGGTGATCTGTCGCCCTCTCTCCTCTTCTCAAAAGCTTATCCAACTTAACTCAAACATCTAGTGATGGCTGCCTCCTCACAGGTCCCTCAGAACATCCTGACCCTGGCTTCTCGTCATTGCATAGCGTTCACAGCTGTATCCCTGCTGTGGATATTAGTGTTTGTCCCTGGGTTCTTCTTCTTGACTCAAAGCTCACTGAGGGTAGGAACTTGGCACATTTTAGGCTCTCAGATATTACATTGAACTTAATACAATGGTTGGAATCCTAAAACACAATCTAAATTTATTCAATAAAAATGCCAGTCTAAGACATTTTTTGTTAAAATGGAAATACATTTATAGAGAATGCTTCAGATTAAAGGGATGAGGATCAAAAGGCACTTTTTTGGCCAGGAGTTCTGAGTCTTAGAGATCCAAATAAATTGTAGACTTTTTATTTCCTGAATTGATTGGAACCATAATACTGGGTTTGTTGCTGTTTAGATTAAAGGGATGAGGATCAAAAGGCACTTTTTTGGCCAGGAGTTCTGAGTCTTAGAGATCCATAAATTGTAGACTTTTTATTTCCTGAATTGATTGGAACCATAATACTGGGTTTGTTGCTGTAATATAAAACTTTCTGGTACTTTTAGTCAGTTAAAAATGCTGTCGCCTCTTTACCTAAGTGTTAGGATTGCACTTGTCTCAAATTAAAGTACCTAGGCCTATTGATGCCATCTGGAAGCCTGATTCAGGAGAAGATTTCTGTGTTGACCAGGGAGGCTGCAGAAGCCTGAGGCCCAGCTCTAGAGCTACTAGGAGAAGGTGTGTGTATCACAGGAGGGCATATGTCCCCTCGGACACAAGATACTGTGGCCTCCATTGAGAACAGAAAGCATCTTCTCAGACAACAGTGCCTGGAACACTAGCTGCATTTTGCAAAAGTGTAGGAGTTTCCCAATGAAAGTCTTGATTGCAGATGTCCTGGCAGCTGGTCATGGGCGCTGTGCCCAGGTTCAGCCCTGGGAATGCTCCTCCAGCTGTGTACACCCACAGCCTGGTGACTCCTCAGTGCCTGACTGCCCCACACTTCCTCTGCTCTAGGGAACTGGGCTTGTGGACTTAGATTGTGGGTGCATTGAGAGCTTACCCCAAGCCCAGGGAGGGAGACACTCTCAAAGCAGAGCCTATCTTCTCACACTGATCTTTGACCTTTCCTGGGCTTTTGAAGCAAAGTTCCCAAACCTGCCTGTGTACGAGCTATGAAAAGCTTTAAAAAGGAGGTGTCCAGGCTCCTCCCTAGATGAAATGCCAAGAATTTCTTGCTGAACACATGTTAGTCTGTTCTTGCTGCTATAACAAAAATACCATAGACTTATAAACAATAGAAATTTATTTCTCACAGTTCTAGAGACTAGGGAGCCGAAGATCAATGCATCAGCATATTTGGTGTCTGGCGGGGTCCTGCTTCTAAGTTCATAGATGGCCATTTTTTTTTTCACTGTATCCTCATGGCAGAAGGCATGAGGGAGCTCTCTGGGGTCCCTTTAATAACAGCATTAATCCCATCACTAAGGGCTTTGCCCTTGTGGCCTAATCATCTTCCAAAGGATCTGCCTCTGAAGGCCATCACACTGGGCACCAGGATCAACATCTAGTTTTGGGTGGACACAACCATCAGTGTTTAGCAGCATTCTCACCCTTTTCTCCTATTGTCTTTCTCCTGGGAACTTGTGGCAGCGCAATGATTGCACAACCCACTCTTAGGTTCCTGTTGAATCCTGCTTGCCCCAGCCCCCTCAGCTCAGGAAGTCCTGACAGCTGCTTTATAGTAGTATGTCCCCGCTGGTAAGTGGGGACCTTGGAGAGGACTGGTGATCAGAATTGTCCAGGACATCACTGCAGGTACCCCCTCCAGATAGGGGGGAGGTCAGTTTCAAACCAACTGAGCCAGGCAGGCCAGCATGCTTGTGTAATTCAGCCCCTGAGAAAGTAAGTCTCTGCTAAAAAGGGACTAATGGACTGTGATGAGCCACCAGGAAGAGCCACTGTACTCGAATGAACCACAGCACTTGGATTTGATGAGCCTGACCTCTAGCAGAGAGTCCCAAAAGGTTTCAGACTGATGAGGCACAAAGGATTGAAACTTTTTGTGAAACTTTGCCTCATTTCTGCCCACTTCTACTGTGACAGTGAGAATTCCTGCACATGGAGTGGTATATGTGTCCTGCTCCTAGGCTGGCCACACTCAAGATGACCAGCTTCGTTTCTCAGGCCCTCTTTTGATAAATGTAGTGACCTCAAGTGGCTCCCTTCCCCTTTCAAGGTGCGGATCTGCTCCCCAGGGGTGGGGACAGGGCCCAGATGAGGTTAGATGCCCCGCAGAGGGCATCTTAGCCAGTGCCAAGGATCTTTGGGAGCTGGAGGAGCCCAGACCTATTTGGCTTTCTTCCAACTGAAAACCCTCTGGGAAAGAATGGTCCTCCACCTCCTGTTCTCAGGGGACCCCGCTCCTTTGTTGTCTTCCCTGGCAAGGTCAAGTTATTTGCTCTCCCCTGACTGGCTGGTTCCTCCTGAGCTGGTTGCTGCCTCAGGCACTCAAGAGAACAGGGACTGAAAATGTAGCTAAATGCAGATCCCTGAATTCTTCAGATTTAGGAGTGAAACTCCAAAAGCCACATTTTATTTGTTTTTGTTTTTGGTATCGGGGATTGAACTCAGGTCCTTGCGCTTGTAAGGCAGGCCACCGAACCGCTGAGCTAAATTCCCAGCCCCAAAAGCCACATTTTAGAAACATAAAACATTTTATCTTTGCATTTTTGAATAGCTAGCTGGAAGGATTTCTCCTAGAGAAATATTTAGAAGGGAGTTGCCTCAATATTAATTTTTCTTAGATAATGTCTCACTATATACAGTTCAGGCTGGCTTTGAATGCACTATGTAGCCCAGGCCAGACTCAAATTCACAGCAATCCTCCTGCTTCAGCCTCGTAGTGCTAGGGTTACAGGCATGCATCCTGAGGCTTGGCTCAATATTAATTTTGATTTATTCTTAAGTGTCATATCACTGCTGAACCGTCCCATCAGACTGCTTAATCAGTGTTTGGAAGTAAGCATTTTCCTGGAATTTTTTTTTTTTTTTTTTTAGAGTTCAGAGGATTCAGATGCAGGTATCCAAGAACTATTCTCTGAGAACATGGAACAGTGGTCATATTAGTTAACTATTGCTACACTAACATATTCTTCTCTCTCT